TAGAATTTGATTGCAGCTTGATTGAACAAACTTCGTGTCATTGAGTCTTTCTTCAAGAGTCAAGCTCACCATATCGAGTGGGTCATAGCCACTGACTCAAGTTATCGTGTTTTGATCTCTAGACGACATTGGCTAGAGGAAAATAAATCCCCTTGCTAGACGTCTGATTTACTATAACCTGCATCACAAACCCTTGAGATCCTTGAAATGGTTAAGGAAATGTTAAGGCATGATGCTATGATGTGTATGCTATGCGTTTAAGTAAAAGTGCGAGGTGATGTAAGCAAGTAAATCCAAGTTATTGGATAAGGGCTGTAAACAAAATCTGTAAGGAACTCATGTTGTCAGATAATAAAATTGTGCAAGTAGTTTAAGTTGAAAGCACACAAGTCACACAAACAGCCTTAGGTTTAGGCTTGCATGGGTTTTAAGGTAGTACCCTCTTGAAGTTTAGTTGGTTCGACCTGTCCTAAAAAATAACCGGGTTTTAGAGGTTCTCAATATCACTGACCATCCTCCATCGGTCATGGTTTCAGCTCACGCAATCTTTTCTTGCGGCCGGAACTATCTCGAGAGTATGGTCTCAATGAGTGTAGCATCGAGTATCATCCAGTTCTCAGCTCTACACCGAGGCCGGCTATCTCACTACTTTCTAATAGCCAAGTTGGTCGATTAAAGGTTCTAAGGTCAGTTGATGTTTAACGACACACGCAGCGGCCCCATATTCTCCTCGTTTCTCCATAAAGGATACCAGTACCAACCAATGTGCCACATCAACGTAGCTACTGCTTCAACCGTATCGGTCTACGCCTCACAGTTTATTGCTGTTTACCTAAAAGGTGTCCCCAGATCCGGGTTAAGATCTATAGTAACTCCCAAGCAACCCTTTAAAAGTAAAGCAACCAAAACAAACAAGAGAAGTAATCATGATGATATAGATCCTAAGGTATACCCCACTTATTACTCTCCAGCAGAGTCGCCAGTTCTGTGATACGGTGGCAGAATCGACTGTTTAATACTGGTTTGCGTTATTTGTTCGCAAATGACGCGGTAAGCAAGAGTCGCCACCGACTTTTATTTTATCCAACTGAAAAGGAAAAATTCCTTTTTCGAGATTTTGAGTACGGGGGGTAGATTATAGAAAGGGAAGGTGTTAGCACCCTTTCTATCCATGGTTTTCCATGGACTCTTAGGTACTTGCTCATCTTTTTAAAATTACTTGTTTGTGTGCTTGATTTGAAAAATTTTGTTTTACTTCGTTTTAACCCTTGTTTTTGTCCTCAAGAGTGTTACGAAGTTGTTTTTGAAAAGTGTTTGGTGTGAAAAAAATTTGTTTGTTTTGAGCAAGTACCTAACAGTTATCTACCTACTCGAAAAAAGGTCGTTGGATGTTTGAGGGACTATCGAAAGGGACGTAATGATCATTGAAGGCAATATGTAAGGATACCTTAGCATTTCGAAGGGACTGTCATCATATATTTGTAGGCAACATCGAGGGACAAGATCATTTCTCGTAGGCAACTCGAGGAACGTTAAGGGACTATGATCTTTATGATGACTTTTAGATTGAGGGTCTTTTGCTAAGATATCCCTACGTTCGAGGGACATGACCATTGTTTTCCGAGGCAACCAAGTGAGGAGTACCCTAGGAGTGAATATGTGCATATGATTTGTTTCAGTTATTTAATCTTTGCACAATTAAGTTGATCTACCGTTTTAATTTTTCAGACATTCTTGCCATACAATCCTATTAGCCATACATCTAAGTAGTTTATAGTTTGCGAAAATAAAATGCAGAAAGTTTAAAGTCCTAGCTATTACAAGGCTTTTGCAGATACATAATTATTTTGGACCGAAAATAAAAATGCGGAATTTAAACCCTTATTACTATTACAATCCGGAAGCAATTACATAATTAAAAAAAAATGCGAGAAAAGATAAATTTACGCTATTACATTGATAATGCGACCTATACAATTTTTCTAGAAATTAAAATGTAAAAGAATAAATAAAAAGAAATTAAGGAAAAATTAAAACCGAAAATTCTAAGTTAATGCTTTTGGTGTTTTTTTGTAGAAAATAATTTGAAGTTAATTAAAAAAACCTAATTCTAATTAATTTTAATTAAAAAAGTTAATTAACTTAATTTATTAATAAATGAAAAAAAGCCAAAAATTCATTTAATAACTAAAACAAAAACCTAATCCTAATTTGTTTAAGTTAAAAAAAAGGTTAGTTTTAAAAAAATGGTTAATTAAAAAATCTTAAAACCTAATTAATTTTAATTAATAAAAAAGGTTAATTTTGAAAAAAAAGGTTAATTAAAAAAACCTAAAACCTAATTAATTTTAATTAAAAAAAATGTTTTAAAAAAAGTTTATATCTAATGATTAATAAAAAATATTAAGTTTGCCAAAAAATAGATAGGGGAAGAAACATCAATGAAAAATAGGGTTAGAAAATAAAAATAATGCAAATATCATGGGTGGTTGTTGAACCGAAAATTAATTTAAAACCTAAAATTAAATTAAAAAAAAACCTAAAATTAATTATTCGAGTTGATTATAAAAAATCAAAGATTCGTGAAAAATATTAGGTTTTATGAAAAAAGTCTTAAACAGATGGTTGCCTTAACCTCCTTAGGATGTCTGCCTTGCCATACATTGGTGGTTGTTATGATCCGACCTCAGTGTTTTGTAATAAATCTGCATGGGACCATAATAGTCAATCCTGTTGAATCTCATAGTCACATTAAACAAATTAGTATATATCATGAAATACAAATAAAATAAATATATGAAAAAAATTTAATGTTAAAACCGATATGGCATGTATGAATGATTATACCCTTTTGATCATGGAGATCAAACCAGCCTTAGCCTTACCCTTACTGGAGAAGTAGTGAGATGAATGCTTCTATGTCCTTTTGATCATGGAGATCAAACCAGCCTTACCCTACCTTTATTGGAGAAGTAGTGAGATGTGGGTTTGTGACAAGGATAACTTGTTTGTAGTGAGATGAGGATTTGTAATAAGGATCTCAAGGTTTTAGGGTTCTTGAAAGAATTTGACATTCTGACAGTGTTGTGGCAAAAACTTTTTTTTCGTCCTCCCTGTTTGTGTGAAAAGAATGAGATTATATAATAGAAATTAGAGAAAAAAATGGGCTTTGAATGTGCAATTGGGCCTCCAATGTTTACTTGAGTCCGTCACGTTCCAGCTAAATCGCAGGGGCTTAAGTGCAATTTCTGAAGTTGAAATGTGAAAACAAAATATAGCCGACATCGAGAACTAACTCCTGTCCAAAAATGGGCTCAATCGGATAAACGGTGAATTAGTTATGAATTTTTGAAATTTCAGCTCAGACAAACTTATTTTGGGCTCCAGTGTCGACTCTGACACGTTCTTCAATAAAAAACTGGTATTGATTGGAGCATAATCCGGTCTCGACTTTTGAAGAAAAGTTGTAGATCTCTGAGTCAGTGACCTTGTGTAAAAAGATGGGCCCGATCCGATAAAAATTGACCGAGTTATGAATTTTCGAAGTTTCGACCCAGATGAAATAATATTCAGCATTCAGGATTTTCGGCGCGTCACGCGCACTCTGAGCAAAAAACGAAGGCCTTTTGGATATCGTTCGAACTCGGTACCTCCTGTGAAAACGTAGTCAACTCAATTTGCGAAATTTTGGCGCCGGAACCAGCTCGATACGATGAAAATCGACGAAGTTATGATTTTCTGAACATGACGTAAATAAACTTCTGTCACAAATTTTCTGTACGAAAATACTTGATAAATCCACATTTTTGAAGACCTTCTGATCAAAATTGGCTTCCAGCAGTGAGAGATGAAAACGTAGATGACGTCAAGACGGAATTTTGGCCACCGGAACGGGTTCAAAACGAGCCACGATCTTCAAGTTATGAATTTTTTACCGCGTAAAAACTGCACTTTCAGCATACTTTTTCACCACATTTCTTCGAGAAAACTCACACATTCGGAGACCTTCTTTAAAGAATTAACTCTTGAGCCGAACCTGAATTTGAGAATACGTTATCAGAGATATCTTGGCGAAAGAACAACTGAATATGACGTGTCGGGTTGGACTTGTGAATCTTTGAACCCCGAATCGTTGCAAAACGGCAAACCGATCTTCAGCACGGAAAGTACTCTGAAAATATCCATTGATGAAATAAACGTCACTTGTAACCTGAAGAAGTTTTATAAATATACCTTTATTTCATAACCATAAAAATAATAATATGTGTATATGAAAAGAGGGCAAATTTTGGGGTACAACAGATGTGCTCGTCATCGGTGGCACCACCATCACCCACATGCAAGTTGGGAACCATTCATCATTGCCTTTCTGTGGTGTTTTCATTTTAAAACGGAGTATCGAATCATCATGCCTATATGAGATGAAGAAGTAGAGCATGAAATGGAATCTAACGCCTTGACAGTTCAAGGTTCAATTGATGCTCAGTAGAAAAACATTAACCAAGGAAATCCAAACCTAATTGTGATAGCAGAAGAAAAAAATAGGGTAAAGGTAGAATTGGAAAAAGTTGAGAGGGGCAGAAAATGCCCCTGTAAAGTTCATGATTATGGATACTAGGCCCGAGATCAATAGTGTGTTTGTATTCTGCAAATTACCACTATTCAGTTCAGTATTCATTTCTATCATATAGTTTCCATAATCAATGAACTTAACTATAGCTCTTCTAACTAATGGCAACAACTATTTTTACTTGAAAATGTCTATCGGTGCAAGTAGTTTTTTTATTATTTTTTTTATTTCAAAGGTATTGTATTGATATGTACGTTTTATTCATTTTCTAGACTCAATTGAGCACTGTTCTAATCATCTAATATGACTAACTACAGTTTCCTGTTTCCTAACAAGTAACAAACTTATTTTAGATAATTTTTTTTCATAGATTAAAATATGCCAAATAACTCGTTAAGCATAAGTAGATAGTTTCTTTCCTCAAATACAGAAAATACTCTGGAGTTAGAAAATGGACTGTTGGAGTATCAGGTGGTAAAGAACTCATAGCTGTCATCCGAGCCTCAGGGGCCATTCACCGTGTTGAGAGTCCATTAAGTGCCCCTAGCAAAAGTATCATCGGAGAGAAATTCATTGAGAAGATCCGTAGGGTCAGAGGTACAATTTGAATCTTATAAATTTTTTCTTTAAATTTGAAAGCACACAATAATTGAACTATCAAAGTTTTATGCTAGTTACATTGATTAGGGGAGTTTTCTTGCTATAACAAAATTTTGACAACGATAAAAGGAAGTGGATTGTCCAAAGAAACTGCAAGAACAAGCTTAGGATACCAGCTCTTTTTAAGTTTTTATTACTAGAACTGGGACTTTTGAACCCAGGTGCGGTATAAGTTTGACAGAAACTGTCTGCTAGTGGAACTCATATAAAATATATAAACATTCACCACTTGAGTAGATCTCATCCTTAAGTTTCAGGACATAAGCAGCGGGGATCAAATATGTTTATTTATGTAACTTATTTTTAACAAGCCGGTTTTGTAGGATTGAGTTAGGTAGGTCCAACTCACATCAGGCGTGAGAGGGGGTGTTAAGAGTCCCACATCAAACAATATATGGCCTGAACATGACTTTATAAGTGAGAGTAATCCTCACCTTACAAGCCGGTTTTGTAGGGTTGAGTTAGACCCAACTCACACATTCTAAGACTTCTAATCAACTTTCCTGTTGTACCAAAACACAAGGATAACATTGGTTTTCACAGTTTTCTATGACGTTGTTTGCTGAACCTGAATTTTTTCACAGTATTTATTATATATTTTTTAGATTCATCATATCTGCGCCTTCGTTTGTGTCTTGGTCACACTGAGCCGTCATTTTCTTCTCAGAGTCAAAGAAATTCAAGGCTGCTATTATCCGAATTGACAGTCCAGGAGGTGATGCTCTTGCTTCTGATTTGTAAGTTCTGGTAGTTTCCTCTCCAATCAAAATAAAGTCATTTTTAATAAGGCGTGCAAGAAATGGTTGGCTGGATTCACATAGCAATGATCCTTACAATGGCAATAAAACTTCATGCGAACCTAAACTGCATTGATTTTTCCTAATAACTTTTTAAGATGCTACTTATAAATTTCAGAGGAGTTAAGTTAATATAGCCTTTAGTATAGTTGAATTTGAAGTACATTTGTGCTATTTGTCATTAAATTGTGGTGCTATTTGCTGACTATTTTGGAAAGTTTGCATGTTTAGCTGATAAAGTTTTGATATCACGGTCTACAGAATGTGGAGAGAAATCAGGCTTTTGGCTGCTTCAAAACCAGTTATTGCTTCAATGTCTGATGTGGCAGCAAGTGGAGGATACTACATGGCAATGGGAGCAGGAGCTATTGTTGCAGAAAGCCTTACCTTAACTGGTTCAATTGGAGTTGTTTCAGGTGAACCTAGGTCTTATAGTAAGATAAAAGAGAAGGCTATGAATGGATGGCAGTTTACCTGAAGCTAATAACAGAATTATGTGGGTTATTAACCAACCTACACATGCCGGTATAATTGAAATTTGAAATAGACGAGATCCTCCATGTGTTAGATCCTAAATGGCATTTTCTCAATATTTGAAACTGTATTGAGCCAGACACTGCTAAAATCGTTATTTTTTAACCCTTGCTTGAGATAGTTGTATAAGATATCCCTGGAGGCTCCTAACTTCTTGTTGTGGTCTTGTACATATATTACCGTTTTCACTGAGTTCTATGTCAATTACTTTTAACCTTATTTTAATCGAGGAAATATAGTAGTTTTTAAACATCATTTGAATGGTAATCATATGCAACCAATGGAAATTGTAGCTGAAAAGAAAGCAATCAATTGCATTATGAAGTAATGAGGAAAGTTATGGTAATCATTATGAAGTAATCATATGGGTTTTGTACTATTAACTTGATGACGTAACTCACTTTTGTAGGAAGATTTAACCTTGGGAAACTTTATGAGAAGATTGGTTTCAACAAAGAACTGATTTCAAGGGGTAAATATGCCGAACTCCATGCAGCTGAACAGCGCTCTTTAAGGTAATAGAATTTGTTCATGTATTCATAAAGATTCTAGAAGAGAATTTTAATGTGCACTGTGCCATCTATTATCCAACTGTACGGCACATTTTGTTAGACAGGAAGACTTTGGCTCTGTTTACTTTCTTGTTCTAGTTTTGATTGATTCATGGGTTCGGGTTGATACTTTTCTTCTTCTTTCCGTATCACTTTATATTTGATTTCTGTGGCAGACACACGTAATCATTGCCTCTCTCAAGTACAGGCCACATGAAGCAGAGCTATTTGCCAAGTCTGCACAGAATATTTATAAACAATTTCGAGATAAGGCGGCTTTTTCCAGATCAATGACGGTAGGTTATAAACTTATATAAGAAAAAGATATTTTCTATGCTTTATGTTCTTCCTCCTTCTACGTCCAATAGTTATAACTATTACCCTATTGCTAGGTAGACAAGATGGAAGAGGTCGCACAGGGGAGGGTTTGGACCGGTAAGGATGCAGCATCTCATGGGTTGGTTGATGCTATTGGTGGGCTATCCCGTGCTATTGCTATAGCAAAATTGAAGGCTAATATACCTCAAGACAGACAGGTTGATTTGAGAAGGCCTTTATTTTGTTAATGTTTGTTTATTTGATCATTTCATTTCAAGATTCTTGTGATGATTGTGCTTGAGCTATGTCAGGTTACTATTGTGGAGCTCTCAAGACCCAGTCCTTCTCTACCTGAGATTTTAAGCGGTCTAGGCAATTCTCTCGTTGGAGCTGACGAAACACTTAAGGAACTATTACATGACTTGACAATTTCTGATGGAGTTCAAGCACGGATGGACGGAATCGTGTTTCAGAAATTGGAAGCATATCCATCTCCCAACCCCATTTTGGCATTGATGAAAGATTACCTCGGTTCTATGTAGAGGGAGAGGAAGAGATTATCTTCATTGTTGTATAATATAGAAGATCTACATGGAATAAAGAGATTATCTTTTGAATTGTATAATAGCAGGTCTACATGAACATCCACTGCGAAAAAAATCTAATTCCTCCAGCAATTGTGAAGTAATCAAAACCATTTGATTATAATGTTGAGAAATTTTTATTCTCAAGACAAATCAGAAATGCTCCTCTACACAGATACGAGTACATTTCTACAGAATATTTCGTTCTTTTGCGCATAATGTATTGGCATTTTTTTAAACCACAAATGCAAGCTTATGTAGATTTGCAGAATTTTCTCAAAATCCAAACATATGCTTCATTTCATCTTTATGTACGATGTCTAATATTAAAAATAAATAAATTGACGTGGAAATTTTAAACAATGAACTACTTAATTTTCTTTTTTTGGCACAATTGAACTACTAGATTTTTTTTTTTTGGCACAATTGAACTGTTTTATTTTTTCTTCTTCTTTTGACACAATTGAACTTTTTGAAAATAGAAGTATAGCCATAATATTAGTGATGATTTAATAGGGTGTAATGGAGACCAAATCAGGGTTTTAATGGCTGAAAGGGCCAACTCTCAACTTACATCAACTAATTTTATCTAATTTGAATATGGTCTAGTCATTCCGAAACAATTGTAACCCAAATCAATGCTTTCAGTTATGAAGTGAAGATTGTTGATGTGAATATTTTGAGACCGTTGTGGGAGTAGTAGTTTAGTCGGAAGAGTGTTCCAGAGAGAGAAAGAGTTCCATTGGGTACCTAAGTCGGAGTTGGTAGCATTGAGAATACATGCATCAATTATCTATCTTGTACATGATAGCCTTCACTCAACTCCGTTATTTTTCGGTATATTTCTAGAAATAGTCATAAATATACTCAAGTGGCTAGTCAGTTATAGATAGATTCACTTTATTCTTTCATCACTCACTCTCACTCCACTCCCAGATTTAGCAGTGACGGAAATGCCACTCATACGCACGGCAATTAACCGCTTCCGTTGCATTCCAAAACCCTTCGAATTCAACTCTTCATCTTATTATCCTTCATCCTTATCTTTAGATTCTACTATTAAACACGATGATGATTATCTCACCGGTGAATTTGTTTTTAAACCCGTCACCGGTTTCAACAAATTTATCGTCAAGCTCAAGACGCTAATAGCCTTATCCAAGGAGCGTACTGAACACGGTAGCGTCTTGGAAATCACTTTGCTTGGCCAGGTCTTTTTCTTTCGTCTCACTTCTCTCGTACATACTATTGCTTTGCTTACTTTAGTTTGTCACGTAGATACCCGATCACCTGAATCATAGATCGTCTCTGCCCAAAATTTCCATAATTTGTCGAAAGCAGCTTATTATCCTCGTATTTCTTGCCTATATCTTGAAATTGATTATTTATACTGCGGCTGGGCTATAGCCGATGAAATTCATAGGCAGATCTTAAATTTCAGAAAATCAGATTTCATGATTATTAATCTTTATCTATTATGTTAATGTCTAAGTACGGAATTTTCTCTTTTCAAAGTTAATTTGATCATACTTGTAGGAAATGTTATAAAATGAATCAGGCTTCTATATTACTCTTATATATTGCTCTTTGTCAAATAAAATACACTCTTGGTCTTTTATAGACCCAAACAGCTTTTACAATTCTAAAACATAAATTAAAACATAACTGCTACTAATAACTTAATAACTTACTAAAACTTTTGTCCTTCCTACTACCATGTTTAATGTAAAACTTTATTACTAACACATTTAATGTTTATTCAGCAAAACTCCTCTGTAAACTTAAATGTTTCTTCCATCCAGCATTTTTATCATCTTCTTGCCTCTGTCGAAGACTTCTTTTGATAGTGGTTTTGTAAAAATATCAGCTGCTTGGTTTCTGCTTGCTACATGCCTTAATTCGACACTTCCCTCCTTCACATGTTCACGAATGAAGTGAAATCGAACATCGATATGTTTGCTTCGTTCATGATTCACTGGATTCTTTGTCAATTCGATAGCTGATTTATTGTCCACTTGTATTATTGTTGGACCTTTCTGTTTTAGCTCCATCTTGCTTATCAACCTTCTGAGCCATACTGCATGGCAGACGCACCAGGATGCTGCCACATATTCAGCTTCACACGTCGAAAGTGTTACTATAGGTTGCTTCTTCGACAACCAAGTAAATGCTGTGTTTCCCATGAAAAACACATATCCATAGGTGCTCTTTCGATCGTCTATGTCTCCACACCAGTCACTGTCAGAATAACCAACTAACTTGTAGTCTTCTGTTTTTGAATAAAACATTCCTAGTGATACTGTTCCTTGGATGTATCTTAGAATTCGTTTCAGCGCCTTCCAATGTGTGTGTACTGGTTCCTCCATGAATCGACTCACTATGACAACACTTAGTGAAATGTCTGGCCTTGTGCATGTGAGATATCGAAGGCTACCTACCAAGCTTCGATATTTGCTTCCTTCGACCCGTTCTCCTCCATCAAACTTTGACAGTTTTGTACCTGGTTCCATTGGCGTCGAAGTTGGATTGCAATTCTTCATTTTATATTTTTCTAAGATTTCCTTTGCATATTTTTCTTGTGAGATGAAAATTCCAGCTTCTTCTTGTCGAACCTCCAGACCAAGAAAGAATCTCATCAGACCTAAGTCTGTCATTTTGAATTCGCTTGTCATGGTGCTCTTGAAATCTTCGATCATCTGAACATCACTGCCTAGAAAGATAAGATCATCAACATAGAGAGCAACAAGTAATAAATTACTTCCATTTTTCTTCACATAGAGGGCGGGTTCATAAGGACATTGCTCGAACCCATTCTCTTTGAAATATGTGTCAATACGTGTGTTCCATGCCCTAGGTGCTTGCTTCAGCCCATACAGTGATTTCTTCAGTTTCAACACCTTCTTCTCTTCTCCAGTTCTCATATATCCAAGTGGTTGTTCGACATAGATTTCTTCTTCGAGCACACCATTCAAAAATGCTGTCTTGACATCCATTTGAAATATTGGCCATTTGAATTGAGCAGCTTGAGAAATGAGTAATCAAATTGTCTCCATTCTTGCAACAGGCGCAAACACTTCGTCATAGTCAATTCCTGCTTTCTGTTTGTATCCCTTCGCAACCAGTCGTGCTTTGAATCTTTCTATTTCTCCTTGAGCATTCATCTTTTTCTTGAATACCCACTTTACACCAATGGGTTGACTACCTTTTGGCAATTTGACTAGCTCCCAAGTATTGTTGCGTTCGATTGCTCTAATTTCTTCGTCCATGGTACTTTTCCACTTCTTGTCTCGTAACGCTTCTTCGACGCTGATATTTTTAGCATCTGCCAGAAGACACACAAGATGCACCTCACTTGTTGAATCATACAAATCTTGCAAACTTCTCATTTTGGGTTGTAGAGGTTCATCTTCATCTTCAGTTTCTTCATGTTCTGTTGGAATACTAGTTGGTACAGTTTAGGGATGTCAATGGGGCGGGGCGGGGCCGGGGGGACACTTCCCCATCTTTTTCCCCGCCATCAAATTCATTCCTCGTCCCCGTCCCCGATCTCCGTCACGGGGGAATTTCTATCCCCATCCCCGTTCCCCGCGGATCCCCGTTCCCCGCGGGGATCCCCATAGATCCTACATTTATTCATTAATATTTTATTTTTTTAAAATGTTTATATTTTCTATAAAAATAAAAAGCACAAAGAATTCACATATTTATTATGTTATTAAAAAATACTAGTATTTGACATTTATTATTTTTTATTAAAAATACTAATGGAACACAAAATCTAAAATATATATTAAATTAACTATATTAAAATAATAGGCGGGGCGGGGGGTGTATTCCCCGTCCCCGTCCCCGAAATGCTCTCGGGGGAATTTTTCTCCCCATCCCCGCCCCCACGGGGGAAAATTCCCCATCTTTGGGGCCCCGAACGGGGCGTTCCCTGCGGGGATCCCCATTAACAGGTCCAAACTGACATCCCTAGTACAGTTACAGTTGTTTCTTCGACTGTGTCAACAACCTCTGTCGAATTGTTCCATTCCCACTTGCTTGCTTCGTTCATTCGAACGTCTCTGCTCACGATCACTTTCTTGCTTATGGGATTGAAGAGCTTGTACCCTTTCGTCTTCTCATCATATCCAATGAATATGTACTTCTGACTTTTGTCTTCAAGCTTTGTTCTTCGTTGATCTGGTACATGTGCATAAGCTATACTACCAAATACCTTGAGATGAGAAATTGTTGGCTTCTGTCCACTCCATGCTTCTTGTGGTGTTTTGTCTTCTAACTTCGAATGTGGACATCTATTCTGAATATAAACAGCACATTGTACTGCTTCTGCCCAGAATTCTTTCGACATGTTCTTGCTTTTGAGCATTGATCGAACCATGTCAAAAATAGTTCAATTCTTCCTTTCAGCCACACCATTTTGCTGAGGTGAATATGGTGCAGTTAGGAATCTCCTTATGCCCTGTTCTTCACAGTACTTCACAAAGGCCATTGAAGTATACTCACCTCCTCTGTCAGATCGAATTGCTTTGATGTGTCTGTCTGTTGCCTTCTCTACCATTACTTTGAACTTTTTGAACACTTCTAATGCTTCAGACTTTTCTTTCAGGAAGTAAACCCAGGTTTTTCTTGAGAAGTCATCAATAAAAGAAATGAAGTACCTTTTTCCACTGAAGGATTCTGGAGTGATTGGCCCACATATGTCAGTATGTATCAATTCGAGAATATGTTTAGCTTGATACTCTGCCTTCCTTTGAAATGAGGTTCTTGTTTGTTTGCTCAGCACACATTCTTCACAGAATTTTCCTTCGAAATCCATGTCTGGTAGTCCATGCACCATGTTCCTTTTCGCCAACCTTCTCAAACCAACATGATGTAGATGACCAAATGCATATGCCATAGTGACGCTTTGTCTTGCACTTCGATTTGCAAACATTTCTCTCGAATGTTCCTCAGGTTCAGTTTGTACATTCGATTTATTTCCATTTCGACACTGGCAATCAGATGTCCTACTTTGTCCTTCAAGTGCAATGTTCGATCTTTCATAAGTATCGAAGCACCTTTTTCTGTAAGTTGTCCCAGACCTAATATGTTGGTCTTGAGATCTGGTACATAGTAAACGTCTTCGATTGATCCAATCAAGCCATCCTTCTGCAAGTAACTGATTGTGCCCTTTCCTTCGACCTTCACTTTCGATGCATCTCCAAAAGACACATTACCATCTTCAATTCTCTTCATATCTTTAAACAGGTGTTTGTAACCACACATGTGATTACTTGCTCCTGAGTCAAGATACCAAACACTGTCATTGGTGTTGATTTCGTTTTGAGCCATCAGGAGAAAGCCTTCATTCGATTCAGCTTCCAAGGCTAGGTTGGTTGTTTCTTCAATCTTCTTTTCGATTCGACAGTCTTTTGCAAGATGTCCCACTTTGTCACAGTTGTAACATTTGTAGGAGTTGCAATCCTTCGCATAATGACCATACTTCCCACACTTGTAGCATTCGAAGTTGGAATAATTCGAACGACCACCTCTTTGACCACGTCCTCTGCCACGCCAATTTTGTTGGCTCGATTGTCCTCTTTCGAAGTTGCTACCTCTACCACTTCGACCACTGTCACTACCTCCACGTCCACGTCCTCTTCCTCGAAAGTTGTGAGAAAAGAGTACCTTTTCGTCTTTGTTCGATTCCTTGGTTTGGTTTGCTTCTTCGTCTGCTTCTTCTTTCTTTTTCATCTTTCGTTGTTCATGTGCTTCGAGAGAACCAGCGAGCTCTTCGATTGAGAGCGTCGAAAGGTCCTTCGACTCTTCTATTGCACATACAATATTTTCAAACTTGTCTGTTAAAGATCTCAAGATCTTTTCAACAACTCGTGCATCAGGTACTGTCTCTCCATTTCTGGTGAGTTGATTCACCACCTTTTGCACACGTGTGATGTAGTCAGATACAATTTTTGTATCCTTCATCTGTATTCTCTCCAATTCGCCACGAAGAGTTTGGAGTCGAACTTGCTTCACTCGATCTGCTCTTTTGAACACTTTTTCTAACGTGTCTCACGCTTGTTTCGACGTAGTCGAACCAGCAATTTTCTCGAAGCCTGATTCATCTACAACCCTGAACAACATGTATAATGCCGTTTTGTCCTTCGATCGCGTCTCTTTCAACGCCTTCGTTTGAGCTGCCGTATATCCCCCAACTTCTGTGGGTTCTTCAAACCCATCATTGGTCACTTCCCACGCGTCTAGAGATCCAAGAAGAGCTTTCATTTGGATACTCCAGTTTTCATAATTAGACTTCGTTAGCCGTGGCAACGACATTTGATTCATCATGTTTGCCATGAGCTCTGATGCCAAATTGTTATAAAATGAATCAGACTTCTATATTACTCTTATATATTGCTCTTGTCAAATAAAATACACTCTTGGTCTTTTATAAACCCAAACAGCTTTTACAATTCTAAAACATAAATTAAAACATAACTGCTACTAATAACTTACTATCACATTAAAGTTTATTCAGCAGGAAAATGGATTGTTGCTTATCTCCCTTCAATTCGACTGAAATCATGTTACATTGCTTGTGCATGTGGTGAAATATATGCTCCGCCGTGTGCTTATGTTTATTTCTTTGGATTCACTATTGAAGTCACATTTTTAAGAGGTATGCTGATTTCTGCTTTTCAATGCATTTTTTCTAAACAAAGTCTGACTTTTAGTAAAGGCGCCATTCCTCCCTACTCTACATTTATAATGCTTTTGCAAATGTTAGTTTTTCAGATATAATCTTAGTGATGCTTAATGGTTTTTGATATACGGAAATTTGTTCATGTTAATTCTCTTAGGTGTTTACGACAAACTTGGAATTGAACCACAAGTTGTGACTGCATTACTGGATGGTGCCCATTCAAATTGGCTGGATAAAGTCTCTTCGGCTAGAGGTGCATTTGCATTATAATCTCCTAATTGCATCTTAAACAACTGAATTAACTTGCTTCTGCAAATTCTATAAAGGAAAGAAAATAGAAGATATTGAAAATAAAGAGATGGGAAGAAGACGGTTTTACAACAGGCATACTCTATGATTATGAGGTACGTGAAATAATTTGGTATTATGTGACTGATTACTTGCATCTGTCAAGGTAGCAGTAGTTGCTAACTTGACTTATATAATCTTATTGAGAGTTGGGGCAAAGACTAACGCATCTCGACACAATCTTAAAAAATGACGCCGAGTCTAATCCACTTTTCCCATTGCTATCTCCCATAATAGCATTGGAGAAGAGTCATACAATAAGAAATAATGACGGCAAAGTGGTGATGTCATTCCAATGGAAGTTTTTCAAAAGTTTCCCAACTTGGAGTTCGGTGCTCAGGGTCAAATACATTCAAGGCTGCTATTATCCGAATCAACAGTTATGGAGGTGAAAACCAATAATTTAAACCGAGCATGTGCCTTTATAAGCTGTTCATATAAGAACATCGAACCAAACTAAAATTATTGGTTTGGTATATCAGTTTAAAATTTCAAACTGTACAAAATCATTTTTTTCATAACAAATCATTTGTTACAGAATCGAACCCTTAAACTTTTTTTCGGTTTTAAAACTTATTTTTAGTATTTTTTCTGTTTAGATTTGGTTTGGTTCAGTTTTAGTTTCAATTTAATTCATTTATCATTTGATTCGGATCTTAAATTATTTGTGCAACATAATTCAGTTTATTAATCAAATATAATAATTTAATTATTTTAACTTTAATTCTCTTCGGTACGACAGTTTTCTTGAACCGTCCTAATCTTTTAGGTGCTTTTAGTCTTGTCCCAAACGTTGAAAATTTGTCAAATCAATGCTAAAGGTCATTAAACATTACATTTGCTAGCCCAAATAATACTGGTTCACAAAAGGAAATCTAGTTACAAGATCATAAATAATAGTTCAGTTTTAATTTTATATTCGGTTTGATTCTAAAACCGTTAATAAAATATTGGTTTGGTTCATTAACTAAACATAACAATTTAGTTATTTTAACTTTAATTCAGATCAATTTTAAAGTTCACTTCAATTCACAATTTTTTAACAATCCTATTCCTTTATAATCCTTTCAAGATTTAATATAATAGAGAGTGGACCCTACACAAGAAACTGCAAGAAACTAGCTTAAGGATGACAAATTTTTTGAAGTTTTTACTTCTAAAACCGGGACTTTGGTGTATGGGTTTTTCCCAAGTGTTAGGTATGATTTGAATAGATCTTCATCCTTATGTCCTAGGACTAAACGGTGGGAATTAATTAAATTCAGTTATGTAACTAATGTAATAACCAACAAAGTTCATACTAAACTATTTTCCTTATCATAATTCATGGATAACATTGGTTTTCACAATTTTTCTAAGATGCTAATCTGAATTTTTTTGCGGTGTTATTTACATTTTTTTCCTGAGTCCTAGTTATACTGAGCTGTCTTTTTCTTCTCAGGGTCAAATAAATTCAAGGCTGTTATTATCCGAATTAACAATAATGGAGGTGATATTCTAGCTTCTGATTTGTAAGTTCTGGTAGTTTTCTCTCTGTTCAAAATGCTGCCTATTTTTAATATAGCGTCCACAAAGTGATCGTTGTTATTGTAATTAGAAAAAAATGAGAGACATTTAGATAAACCGTATGTCTAAATAGCACAATAGAAATTTTAGGCAATTTCTTAATTCACTCTATGACTTTCTTATGCACCACGCGAAAATCTATAATGTCTCTTAAAATCGGAAGTATATTTCCGATTCGCACCATGTTATATATGAATTACGTTGGAAGGGTTGGGTGCAAACCGGAAGTACACTTATAGTTTACAACCGGAAATATACTTCCAAATTCTGGAGGAATTATATGGCACACTGCCTCTTCCCCTCTTATTACAGCAACCCATTCAAAACAAAACACAAAATTCTCTCAAATCCTTATTTCATAAATCAAATATTTTGTCAAAAAATCATTAGAAATCATCAAGCAGTGGTTAAATAAAGCATTCTAACGCAATCAATCAAGAAAAATCAGCACCAATCAATCAGGTATGTTGTTTTTGAATTATTTTTGAGTTTATGTAATTTCTACTCAAATTAGTGAATTAGGGTTCAAACTGTGATATTGTAGCTAGTTATCATCATTAGGAGTCATTATAAAAGTGTTTCTAAAGTTTATTTGATGATCAATGCCCTTATTTAAACTCATTTGGGGGACTGCGATGCCAACTGAGCGTTATTATGTTATCGCAGAAGAAATCAGAATTAAATTTCCGATTTTGGTAAGAACAAAACCACAAGTATAGTTCCGGTTTCTGTCTGTGTCTGTTTTAAGCCTTGTTTTGCACAATGGACCTTATGTTAACATTTCTTTCTTACTTCTACAAGAGTAATGAGTGAGAGACCATCTCGATTGAGGCTCGACAGGGTTGCACAACATGCTTCTGTGCAGAGAGAAATGAGTCAGACAACTTAGTCTCCTTTTGCCTATGGACAGGCCATACCGATGTTTACCCTCGAATTTTGGTAAACAACCGCTGATCTTTCAAATTCTTTCACGGATTCAGTTACTTGCGAGATCGATCAGATTGATCTCAGGACACGAGTGTCTTTATTAATCTTTTAACTTGATTGTTGTATTTAACATGTTTTGTATATGAAGATAAATAGCTTCAAATGTCGAATTAAAATGCATATAAAGTGAAAGTAAAATTACTTCTAAACTTGAAATGGTAAAAGACTTAAGTAAATGTTACTGGAAATTTTGCAGAAAGTAAATGCATTTATATTAAATGGGTGTATCATACGTACATCCTCAATAAACTCGTTTCTCTTTAACACTTGGTACTTTGAGTAATTTCTGAGTAATTTGTACAAAGATGTTCACCACCTAAATCGAAATACTAAAGCCACTATTTATACTACTTCGACCCTAACGGTCTTCTACACGAACTAATGCCACATTTCTGTTTGCATGTCTTCGACGAACTCAGAGCCTTCCACGCGTCTTTTCGGATAAGATCAAAATATTTGAATTCGAATCTCCTTCTTATCTTGAGCGCCAATCTCTGAAGACGGTCGAACGAAAAAATGTTTGAAACCTTAGCCACATCTCGAATAACAATCTTTATTCAATAATTCGAATTGGTAAACTTTTTCAATGAATTTTTACTCAATTCGAATCTCAACCTTTATGGCTTCACATAAATAAAGTAGTGGAATATTCTGAAGTATATTCAAGTCTAACTTTAAAATCCTTAGTCGAAATTTCCAGCTAACAAATTACCCCTAAGAAATATTCATTTCGAAACAAGAAATGTATATTTTTTGCAACCTCTTCAAAATTTCGACTCCCTGAACACGCTGTCAATCTTTCAACTACTCTGACGTCATCCTCATGATGATATTTAATCTCAAAATATCAAATGACATCATGGGTATCTATAAATTCCATCATTAACTACAATGACTAGTTCCTGTATTGGAACTCACAAAACTGTTCATCAGCACGCAGGATCATGCTACACGTGTCCCACTAACCTGAGAATTTTGATTTCTCTTTCATCAAAAGAGTTCACTTTCTTCCATACAAATAATATTTTTAATCTCTTTTTCCTTTTTTCAATCTTATTCAACCTTCAAGCTTCTTCTTTCTCAAATGTTCAGCAAAACTTTCTTAACAAATTTCTTTTCTTGTCTGCATCAATGGCGTCTCAAAGCAAAACCAAATCTGAAAAGGATAAACGAAACAAAGACAATGTTGCCTCTAAACCCCTTCTTCAAATATCAGCACCATTAATGATTGGGAACCAGGAATTTGTCCCAACACCATCTTTGAAGAATGAACATATAACCATATATTCTTCACGGGTATTAATTCCTTTTACTCTTGCCTCTAAAACATTAGGGTTTATGGGTCCAGTCCTTGATATAGAGAAATTACCTAAACTTAATAAGTTTTTTCCAACTCACCATTCCACCAAACCCATTGCTAGCAAGACTAATGTAGTCATGAAAACTAAGGCAGATGATGAACAAGATGTTCAAGAGAACCTTCCCCAGGAAGAAAAAGAACTGATAAAAATTCCTTTAAATTTAGACTTCGTTACTGAAGTATCACGCCCCTTTAGATCAGGTCCGTCGAAAGACGACTAAAAGTACTTAGGTTGGTTAGCTAGGGTAGAAAAAGTAAAGCTAACTACCTGGAAGGAATTAGGGATTTTCGACTTGATTCATCTGTCGAAGTATAGTCCTGAATACTATCAATTGATGTTGACGACTTCATTGTACTTCTGGGACAATACTTTTAACACGTTCCACCTTCCTTGTGGTATGGTCACCCTAACCCTTTTCGACGTCGCTGCCATCACTGGGCTTCGACCCACTGGAGATACTTTCAATCCAACCATCGATAGTGAGGACACCATTGATTTCAGCAAAACCTCTCTCACATATAACAATTATATGGATCATTACATAGGAACCACAAATGAAGTCAATGATCAAGAGCACATTGCTTTCCTTGCGTTGTGGCTCTCAAGGTGTCTTTTCTGCTGCAAGTCTCTCCAAGTTGCTAGGAGATTCTTGACCCTTGCTAATCAATTGCATGTCGGTCGAAACATTTGCTTGAGCGAATTGATTCTCGCTGGACTCTATGAAAGTCTTGGGGAGGATTCTTCGAGATTGAAAGAATTCGAGCCCCAAACAACATCATCCTAGCTGGACCTTATTGGTTGTTGCAATTGTGGTTGAACGCCACATTCAAACCTTCTCTTTCAACCTACAACACTATTAACGAGGCTGATCCTGAGGTCGAGAATAAGACTATTGAAGGAACCAGACTAGTTTGACTGACCCCTGACGAAGGAGGGAAAAACTTGCAAGAGTGCTTCACCAGACACCTTATGATGTTTGCGAGGAGGCACAGATGCACTCCTTCGATGGCTCCTTTTACTGCGAGAAGTCATGGCCCATAATGGTTTACCAGACCATTATCGAATCTTTCGACTGAGCAACAGGTGGAATCCCTTCGAATCTGGGAAGCCTTTCTTACTCCTAGACTTCTCCTTA